TCTTAAGCACACTGTGCAGGGTTAGCGGACCCAGCCGCTCGGCTTGGCTGGCACCCTGGGCTGAGTAACGCACACACCGGGCTCATTTTCAGCACATTCTAAGAACAGCAGTTCCCCCTTGATGCTGCTCCACATTGAAACTAATGACAAAAACAGTGCTGACATTTAAACTGGCTTCTGAGAAACTGTTGGACCTTCAAGTCCATAGACTGGGAGTTGGGCACAAAGACAGATTTATTGGTAGGGAACGCCGGTGGAAACAAAGTGCCACCCTGAAAACGTACCTTCACAAGCCTGCTGCCACTGGGACCCCTCCAAAGGACGTCCTTTACAATGCAGCCCTCGCCCCGGCCCCGGCCCCGGCCCCCAGCCCCCGGCCGGGAAGAATCTACCCAGCCCCGGCAACCCAATCTCCCGCTGTGGTGAGCGGGTTCTAGGCCACAGCTTGTAAGTTAAACACAGCTGTGAGCTATTATACTGCAGCGCTGTATCTGCGTTAACTCGCCAATTTTTGATAAAAATTTTCACTTGTTAGAGTCACCAGGGAACAGGGCAGTCCTGGTTCCATATTTGCTAACTTCCATTTTCCTTGCTCTCTGCCAATCCTTAACTCACCGTCTGCCTGGCTTCCTCTAAACCCTGGGATGATGCTCTCACAGTCTCCCTTGCAGAAAGGAGCAGAAGCCAGCTCTACCCTGTTATCAACAGCATTTAGAAATTTGAGTCTTCAAAGGCTGAGCTCACCACGCAAAAGCCCTTGCTTTGGGGAAAGTGGTTACACCGCAAACAGGCACCCTGGTAATACTGTTCCCTTAACGGGTCCCCCGCCTGCAGCCGTGTGCCTAAGCACAGCCCGAGTGCCCTGCTACAGCACTCCTCGCACTCAGCCATTCATTCATCCTCCACCCGCTCAACAATGTTTGCGGAGAATCTACTATGTCCCAGGCACTGGGATAATGGCGGGGTCTCTCAGGAAGCAAATCTCCAGGACCAAATGGGTGTTGACCTCCTTCTCTGCCCTGGTGCTTCCAGAGGACCTCCGGGAAGTGAAGGAGGGAGCCCCCCGGGGTGTGTCAGTGGTAGGAATGAAGGGCGAGAAAATAAGAAGAGGAGGAACTAAAGACAAATAGAGTTGCAAAGAAATGGTAAGCTTTAACAGTAGTCTGCTGAATAATAGTAACACTGATATTGTTATTTTAAAACTATTTTCATATATGATGAGATAATGCAAAAAGTAATTATTTAATGTTGTTAGGAACCAAAATTGTCAATGTCAAAAACATCATGAAAATTGAGGGAAGTTAACAACCCTGTTATGTTAGACTGGGAATGGAAAGATCAACATTGTATTGGTCGTGTTGCTACAAGATAACGTGGTATAACACCCAGCCCTCAAATCTCAGAGGCTTACAGCAACAACATTTATTCCACACTCGCAGGCCTGTCGAGTGAGTGCGGTTCAGCTGGCCTCTGCTGCGTGCCCTGGGGCCGGCCCGGCTGGGCGGGAATGCAGGCTTTGGGTCTGGGATTCGGGCTAAACGAGCGAGAGCTGCCGGCACACCACGGAGGGTGGGGATTCCAAGGGGACGGGCAGAAGCTTGTCGTGCCTCTTTCCACCTCAGCTCACCCCCTGTACCCTACCACTTGTGCCTAAGTCACAGGGCCAAGCCCAAAGCCTATGCAAGGAAGACATATACACCACCCACAGGGAAGTTATGAAAAGGATGAGGAGGGAAGTTGTGAAGAACTAACACCACCCGCCCTAGTCGCATGAGTTCTCCTTTCAAAAAATAAACATTTCCTAGCCCAGTCCACTGAAAAGACCTAGCAACCCAGTAGCAATGAATATCTTTTCACCCAGATTGTGGTTTCTAAACATCATTCTCCACTAAAAAAAAAAAACCAACACCCCTGAAGGAATGAATGCCTGAATCCAGGTCTTCCGTAGGAAATATACAACAGCACACTGGTATCTCTTGTTGTACCAAAGAGCAAGGAAGTTATAAAAAATCAACAGGATCATGTTGATACAGGAGATGACATGAAAGGGCTCCATTGGTTAAAGACAGGACAATTCGGGCATCAAAAGGAATACTGACTACAACGGATTGAAAAGCAGGTTCCCAGCCCACTCTTACGCAGGAATCAGAATCTCCAAGGACGGAGCCCAGGCATCCGTACTTGTTAACAGGAACGCCCAGCTGGTTCTGGTGCACAGCCAGGGCAGAAAGGCACCGGGCCGCAGGCTCCCTCATCCACCGGGGGCCCAGGTCGCTCACAGGGCCCCTCTTGCTCTCAGATGCTGGCCTCTGCTTCCTGAAAGTCTTGCCGACAACAAACTTAAAATTGTCCCCTATTCATGTCCTTCCAACTCTCAGGTGGTCCAGCCACAATGTGGCAGGCATCTTCAAGGGGAAAAATTCTAGTTTTCAGGCTGCTAACAAAAATAAAAACAGCAAAAAAGCTGGGGTGGCTCCCAGGGTTCTCCTTTTAACCACAATGTTGACAATGACAATGCGGAACAAATGCTTCCATTTTTAGCTACTATATCATGGATCCAAGCACATTCAAGTCTGGGGTTTCTCCAGATACCTCAGAGCAATTAGTAGCAATTAGTTCTTAACCTCCACTCTGCACCAGGATCACCTGGTGAGCTTTTACACACTGGGGTGACTGGGTTCTGGACCCCGACCCAGAGATGCAGACTCAGTGGCCCAGGTGGGGCCCGGGCCCTGGGATTCAGAGGTTGCCCGTGTGATTCTGATGTGCAGCCACAGTGGAGAATCACTGCTCCAAGCTAATAAATCTTGAAAGAAAAACATCTCACTTTAATGTCTTGTCACAACTTGAAACCAGATATGCCTTGGATGAGGTGCCTTCCAAACGCAGTGCCCCGGGGGACAGCCTCGGTCTGCCCCCACCGGTGCCTCTTCCCTCCCGCAGCCAGCCTGAGCGGCGACCCCATCCTCCCTGGGCACACGCAGCTCCAGGGTGCAGGGCTCACAGCAAGCTGGGCTGCCCTCCTCAGTGCCTGGGACAAAGAATAAAGATCCAAACATCTAAACCGCTCCAGATCAAAGCTAAGCAGAGGACAGGATTGGAAATAGCTTCAACTGAGAACTAAGGTAACCGTCAAACGACTACTCCCCCAAAAGGCTCCAAGAGGTATTGAGTTGTTTCAGTATTTTTAATTAGAAAGAATAGGTAATTCCACATTAGATAAAACAGAAAAAGACTGGGAGTCAGCCAGTTCAAACAAGCAAACATAGGTCTGCTCCCCAAACCTGATGGAACACAACATGCGTGCACACATGCGCACACACAAATGATACAAATCACTGCCATGTCTTCACATAAATGCTGATCACAGCTAACAATACCAGTTTCCTCCTAATCTCTATCAGGGGTGTCCAATGGGCAGTCCACGGGCCTCATGCAGCTCAAGATGAATGTGGCCCAGCACAAAATCATAAATTTAATTAAAATATTATGAGATTTTTTTGTGATTTTGTGTCACAATATATTTAATGTGTGGCCCAAGACAATTCTTCTTCTTCCAGCGTGGCCCAGAAACGCCAAAAGGTTGGACACCTCTGCATAGGTTAGATGCCAGCTCCCTGAAGGCCTGGGTCCTTTGTTTGATTTTGTATTAAAATGTTTTTTCTCAGTCTTAACAGATACCATTACTGTAGGAAGGGCATGTTCAGAGTGTTCTGGAATTCACAGCAGACACCGTCTGACATATCTCTACAACCCCTCCCCTCTGAAATCTGCACCCCCTCACAAGGCTGGGCCCCCCAGCTGTGCTTACTCGTCCTGGCCACGCACTCCTGATCTCAGTCACGGAGCCCGCACTGGACACGTGGCTGAGCTGGGCTGGACTGAGGGGTGCTGGTCTCAGTCTAGAAGGTGGCTTAAATGAGGATCCCGTGAATGTGTGCCCTGTGGGGAAGCCATGTGAAGCCACGTGGGCAGATAGGAGAAAAGGCAGAAGAGAGAGGGAGAGGGAAGAGCAGAGGCAAGACTCAGAGACGGCTCGTATCCTGGTTGGCTCTCCAGGCTGCCTGAACTCCGTGTCCGTGTATTCTGTTTAATGTCCCCTTTACCCCCGTAATAAATTCCTCTTCTGCCTCTCACAGCTACTTTGAAATGCATTTCTACTACTTGCTAATAAAAAAAAAAAAAAAAGAACCCTGACTGAAATAACTATAAAGCCTCCTTATCAACTGCTAAGCATTTCCAAGAATTTTTTTTAAATCAACTTTTTCTTCTTTATTGACTATGTTGTTTCTACAAATGTACATTACAATTTAATGCAAATATGTATGTGTTTTGCTGTAGCACCTTGTTTCAAAATCAGATTCAAGGCAACCACCAGAATTTGGGATCAACAAAAAGAAAGTTCTCTAAAAAAAAAAAAGAAACGTTCCCTCACATCCCCTTCTTGACAGTGACTGTTTTCAGGAGGAGGAGCCTGGGACAAGTAATCAGTGTGGCAAGACCTGACTCAGGCATGGAGGCTGTGGGCACCAAAGGCCACATCTCTGCCAGAGTGGACCAGATGTGGTGACACTCGCTGGTGAATCCGAACACCTGGCTCAAAGAATGAGCACGACCAAGAATGGAAAGTTTCTGGCCCTGGCTGGTGTGGCTCAGTGGACTGAATGCTGGCCTGCGAACCCAAAGGTCACTGGTTCAATTCCCAATCAAGTCATCTGCCTGGGTTGCAGGCCAGGTTCCCAGCTCGGGGCATGGGAGAGGCAACCAATTGATATAGCTCACACAAACATTGATATTTCTCTCCCTCTCTTTCTCCCTCCCTCACCTCACTCTAAAAATAAATTAATTAAATCTTTTTTTTTTTCTTAAAGAATGGAATGTTTCTGGACACTCTCTTTAATGGGGCTTAAATCAGTTCCATCGATTTAGAGAGACTTCAAGAGAAAAACTGAGTCACTCTACTGTGGCTGTGGGAACAGTATAAAGGACAAGGTACAGACCTCCGGCTGGATGGCTTTAAACACGGGGATGTCCATTAATGTGATCTGGCTCTGCAACAAAAGAGAAGAGGTGTTAGAAAACACAAAGGTTACCTGTTGTGTTATTTCGAACCTATACAGAGTAATAACTCATTTTTAAAAGTTATACTTAACCTCTTGAATAAAAATCAAGACAGAATAGAGTAAAAAACAGGCAAATTTCTAAAATGCCTCTCCCATCCCTTCCCTCATCATAAATCCTGACCCACACCCCTCTTTCTTGGATGTAAGACAAACGTCCAACTTAAGAATTGGTAACAGTAGTTTGGAGTGTGGGACTGAGAAGAAGGGGAACATTTTTCAGTTTGGATATTTTTGTACAATTTCAGTTCTTTTCAAGCATGAATTATTTTTGTAATTTTAAAAAGTTAGCAATATTACAAATTAGAATGCTAAACAGAGACACTGTTACTCTAAATTTAATCTTTTAAAAATTGTGGCTTACATAAATTGTCCATTTCTTCTGAAGTCTAAACCTCTTCAAAATTATATGGTAGCGCAACATTCAAGATGCTTCTGCAGACCAGTGTTGGACCACAAATTCCAGAGCCCACAGTATATGAGATAACTACAGAATTCAAGAGCAAGCATTTGGAAAATTTTACAGCAATTTGCCACAATGCTCTTGCTTTATTGTTTAAAGTGTTAGTTTTCTATAGATTGGAAATGAAAAAAAAAATTGATCCTCCACCACAAGTCACTTGAGAAGCACTAATGTTGTCAGTACAGAAAACACACATCTGGTTAAAAGGCTGTTCCTATCGTTAGAAGCTCACTGAGCAACAGTGAGAGGGGCATCATTGCCGACAATTGTTCAGGCCAAGGCATGGCCTGAGCTGACTTCCCACGACCTATCTCCATATGTCACGTGGGACGCCAAGTGTCAGGTAACAGATGCCTCTGTGACAGCCTAGGGAAATGAGAGCTGATGGCCTTTGGGTGCCTCCTAATGCAAGAAAACACCCTGTCCACCAAACGCAGGTCATGTGGGAGGATGTGACACCGAGGAACAAACATGGCCTCTGGGAACAACTGGGCTTGCGTACGTGTCTGGACACCATCGCTCAACAGCACTATTCTATTTGACACCTTACACCCGTCCCAGTCTCAGGTGCCACATCTAGAAAACAGTAACAATAATCTCTGTCTTATAGGATCTTTGTGAAAATTCAAGACAAAAGGTGCAGAACACTTGGCACCTGACAAATGCTCTCTATGTACATGTGTGCTGGGGGTGGGTATGGGTCCCGGTGTGTGTGTGTGGAGAGAGAATCTATGTGTATGGTACAGGGGGGGACGTCTCTGAGCAGGGGAGGGAATAAGCAGGCAGCTTTGAGGAGAGCCTCTCCATCTCCCCTAGAAGGCTGTGCTCTTCGTGGGCACTGAGGTGAAATGCTGCTGCTGGGCACCGAGGTGAAACGCTGCCACTAATGGAAACTCAGCAAAGACAGCAGACAGCATGGGAAAGAAGCACTTGGGAATCTGTCCTCTTCTACCTCAGGGTCCAGCCACCAGTGGCAAGGGGGCCCTGGACATCAGCACACGTGGACCTGGCCCTCATAACCTGAGTGTCCAGCGACTACTAAGCCCAGAGGCCCACATGCCTGTGTGTCTGGCCGAGACAGTGCAAACAGACTGGCATTTCTCCTGCCAGACCCGTGGAGATTGCTGGCCAAGTGCTCTGACATTTGGATTAATTCTGCCATCGTAGGGAACAGAAAGGCCTTGTGAAAACAGATTGGGACCGAGTGCTCAGAACGCCTTGGAAATCTCTCCCGCAGCTCGAGGTAACTCCCTGTCCAGGAGAGCCGGCAGGATGTTTGCAATGTCATTTAGGAAAAGAACCAAAAGCCTGCTAATGTGAAAATGAGAAAACTTCCTTTCCGTCCTGCTGTCCATTCTAGGGTTTGCTACTGAACTTCCAAGTGATTTACTAAAATAGTGACTTTATGTTTCATATATTTTTTGGAGGGCCCAAGTTTTGAAAATTCTGATCCCTGCTAACTGTGAGAAATGATCCCTGCTAGCCGATCCTCGCTAAATGAGAAAATGTGTTCAAGTGTTTTATTCTAAACAAACAAGATCAGCAGAGGTCACCAGGCTTAAAATAGACTGGCTGGTCCCAAACACACAATCTGAGGGTTTTCAGAAGATTCCATTTATATCCTCTCAATTCCAACCAAAAAAAGACGCAGTGTCCAGAGCAAGGATATATCAACACATAGGTAAAACATTCCAATTACAAATTTCATTGCATTTTGCTATAAAGCCAAACACCTGTGAAAAAAGGTTGCCAGTGAGCAGTCCTTCCCGGGAAGTCAGAGAACCCCAAGGCGGGCAGTTTTACCCAAAAGGGAGGGGTGGGTAGGGGTAGGAGCTTGAAGGGGGAGGTCAGGTCCTGTCCCTTGCCACAGCCAGCTCTCAGGCCTCCCTAGGGAGAGGCCCTGGCTTCCTGGAGAGAAAGGGCATCCACTGGGGCATGCGCAGCCTCCCCAGAAACACAGGCAATGAGACTCTCCCATTTCCAAGCAGCACCCCCGAGGTACTGGGGGGCGCAAGCCTGGGTTGATGAGAACAGTCATGAATGAGCATCTTAATGGCTTCTCCTTATTTTTGGAAATAAAGCCTCAACACAGGATGTCCAATTAAGCTAGTCACTTGGCAATGTTCTGTTTAATCCTGACCCCTTCTCCCATCTCCTCCTTCCTCCTAAAAATCCAGCCTCTTTGGGAAATGCCCAAACTCCACATATCTCAAAACATTTCTGTAGATATGAATCCTTCAGAATGGAGAGACCTATAAGGCCACTTGTGGCCTTAGCGAAAAAGGTGGTATTACGTGGAGAAATGAAAGCTTAGCCAAAAATAAAAAAAAAAATGTTTTGCACGTGTTAAATACTGTGTATCTCCTCTCCAACAGGGGCCCCGAGTCCTCCTTCCCAACTAAAACTTTAATTCAAGGCCTCCCCAGCCCCCAAATAAACTAACAACAACAAAATGCTGCTGGCAAATCAGTGGCAAGCCTTATCATAAAAGATCTCTTTAAATGTGCATTGAGATCACTTTGCCAGTGCAGGACCAGGAGGGCTCGCAGAACAAAAAGTAACCAGCTCCAAAGACACATTCCTGCTTCTACTCCCAGAGCCACAGGAAGCCTGTGTCTGGCAATTTTAGAACTGGAGTCAAGCAAATGCAAATTAAACAGGAAGATACTATCTGTCACCCATCAGTGCCATCATGACTGATGGGACTATGAGCTGCTTTGTTTGTTCTTTTTGGAAAGTAATCTGGCAAGAACTCAGAAAAGTTTTTAACTTTTTTTTTTTAAATGTCAAACTTACAAAAAAGTTGCCAGAATAATATGATGAACTCTTATAACCTTTCACCTAGCTTCACTAATTATTATGTTCCCTCATTTGCTTTATGTCTAGGTGTATAATTATACATGCACATTTTCCTGAACCATTTGAGTGTAAAATGCAAATATTATGACTCTTCACCCCTAAATCCTTTACATGTTATTTCCCAAGAACAAGATGACCATCTTACATAATGTGAAACTTATTACAGTCAAGAAATTTATCATTAGTACAACAGTATTATCTAATATACAGTTCACATTCAAAATTTGCTAATTTTCTCAATACTGTTTTTTATAGCAATTTTGGTTTGATCCAGGATCATTCACTGCATTTAGATATTATCTCCTAAAAGTGAAATGAGCATACCGTTGACACAATAATCCCTACCTACAGAATGAAAAGCACTAGTATAGGAGATTTTATATAGAGATCTACATTTAAATACAAATATAAATATAGATGTTTATTGCACCATTATTTTTAGTAGCAAAAACCTGGAAACAATCTAAAAGGCCATCAAAAGGCACTTGTTGAAAAAAGCAATCATGGTACATCCAGACTCCGGAATATCATGAGGCTATTAAAAACAGAGAATTAGGTCTGTGCATGTTGACCTAAAAGGCGTCCATGATCAACTGATGTTGAAGACAGGTTCCAACAATGTTTTTGCTCTGCTTTTAGCCACTGGGGAATAAAGTGACCAAGATGTATTTGTAGAGCACCCCCAGTAAAAAAATGAGAACCTTTTTATTATGAAGTAACACATATTTACTGAAAACCACATTAAACAAAGGCATGGCTTGATGACTTGCTATAGTATTATATATAAACACTTTGTAACCACCACCCAAGTCCAGAAATAGCCACCCCAATCAATAGATGACTGAACAAAAAAAAAGTGTGGTATACCTGTACAATGGAGTATCAGTCTTAAAAAGGAAGGAAATTCTGACACCTGTCCCAAGATGAATGAACCTCAAGGACACTGAGCTAAGTGAAATCGGCCAGTCACAAAAAGAAAAGTACTGTGTGATTCTACTTATGTGAGGGACCCAGAGTAGTTAAATTCATAGAGACAAAAAGTGGAATGATGTTGAGGGTAGTGGAGAATGGAGTTGTTTAATGGGTATGGAGTTTTGGGTTTGCAAGATGAATAAACACAGTTCTAGAGATTGGTTGCACAATAATGTGAATGTACACTTAAAAGTAATTAAGATGGTAAACCAGGCCAGATGGCTCAGTTGGTTGGAGCATCGTCTCATACACCAAAAGGTTACGTGTTTGATTCCCGGTCAGGGCACATACCTAAGTCCCAAGTATGATCCCTGGTCAGGGTGCATATGGGAGGCAACCAATCCATGTTTGTCTCTCGCATTGATATCTCTCTCTCTCTCTGTCTCTCAAATCAATAAACATATCCTTGGATAAGGATTTAAGATTTTATTTATTTATTTTTAGAGAAAAGGAGGGAGAGAAATGTCAATGTGTGGTTGTCTCTCGCACGCCCCCAACTGGGGACCTGGCCCACAACCCAGGCATGTGTCCTGACTGGAAATCGAACTGGTGACCATTTGGTGCACAGGCCGGCACACAATCCAGTGAACCACACCAGCCAGGACAGGATTTAAAAATATATAGTTAGGATGGTAAA